TGACCACACATCCACACAGCTTAGTGTCATCGGTGAACTTTGCCAGTGCTTTTCACCCCCACATCCAGATCATTGATGAAGATGTTGAAAAGCACTTATCCAAATGCTGAACCCTGGGGGGACCCCACTGGCTACCTTCCACCAAGTCAACAGAGTCTATTAGTACTCTGTGTGTCTGACCCCGCAGCCAGTTTCCCACCCATCTGACCATTGAATTGTTGAGCACATAGTCCCCTAGTTTTACCTTGAGAGCCTCATGGGACACCAAGTCAAAGGCCTTCCTAAAATCCAAGTAAATGATGTTAACCTCATCTCCCTTATCCAAGTGGTGAGCAATCTGGTCATAGAAGGAGATGAAGTTAGTCAGACATGACATACCCATGACAAAGCCATGCTGGTCATCATTCAGAATTTTGCTTTCTACTAGCTTATCACATACGGACTCCTTGAGAATTTGTGGGGAGGATTTTTCCTGGGATTGAGGTCAGGCTGGTCAGCCTGTAGTTTCCTGGGTTCTTCCTTCTCCCCTGCTTGAAGATGGGCACAACATTGGCCCTCTTCCAGTCTTCTGGGACTTCTCCTGAGCACCACAAATTCTCAAAGAGGTTTGTCAGCAGTCATTGCTGCTCTTGTCTTGTCACTTAGTAACAAGCAGCCGATGGAGAGGTTTAGAGTATCAGTCCTGTAACCTCCCAGCCTTACATGGCATCTACATTTCACTGTCATACAAGAAAGTTGGTAGACCTGACATTCTGTAGTCACAGCATTGTAAAAACTTTGATGTCACCGTGTCTCCATAGAGACCACTGAAGAGTCTAGACATGGTGTTGGCTGATGGATCTACAGCTTTTGAACATCCTCCAGCACCATCTGTGATGCTTTCCATGTGCTTAACAGTTGCTCAGTATCATGGCTAAGACAGGTTAATACAGTAAACCCTCTTGGAGTTGCATCCCCCTTGGAGTGACAGATTAACCAGCATTTACTGCATGGAGCTAGTTATCATTTGCAGTTGAACGTTGCTTGATAGCTGTGGCCAGAGGCAAGATTTGGTCTGCTTCTTCTAGCTTCTCCATCTACCAGACAATACTGTTATTGAACAGTAATGATGACAGCCTTGTTAGACACCTGTGGAAATAAGAACCCATGATGGGTGTCTACCATGAACTCCAACAGATGTCTGTTCTGGTATAGAGCTCTTCTATCGGTTATACAATCTTCCAATGGATGCCAAATTGCCTCACCAGATCCCATGAGCTCACTCAACACACTGAGTCAAATGCCAGAAGTCTATAAAAAGCACTGTGTGCGGTGTATTAAATTCAGCCATCATCTCAGAAAGCTATCTCAAAATACGAGTAATAAGGTTGCCAGATCTAAAGCTTCACTGAATAATCCCAGCTTTTATTGTCAAGTGCATCACTGCTCTGAAACATTAACACAACTAAAAACTTTCCTTGGGACTGGCAATAGTGTAATGCTTCTACAGTTGCTACATTCAGCCTAACACTTTTAACAGAGATACAATAGCATCTCCTCCTTTTTAGCAGGCATGGTATCATTGTTTCAGGTAGTTTGGCAGAGCCTGCTTAACCCTGGCACAGCAGGACTCTTGCTTATCGTCTTACCCCGATGTAGCATTTCATTCTTCCCCACAACTCAGTTTATGGATCACAGTTCAGAGCCATTTTTGGTTGAATGTTGTTCTTGATTGTACCACAGGGAAGATCATTCAAAGATGCTCTGTAATTGACTATCAGAGGCTGTACCTCCTTTGCTTCAAATGGAATGGAAAGGTTCCAGTGAAGTCTCATTTCTTCAAGCAAAAGGAGGTCTGACTTGGTCTGCTAATCAAGGCTTGCAAAATGGGCTGATGTGAGTTTCCTGCCTTGTGTGCAGGTTGTAAAGGCTTCATTCACTAATGCTCATGAAGTGTTCTGGAATTACTGTAAGGCACTATGCAAGAATAAAACATTTTGCATTAGGATCTTCCTAGGAAAAAAATCCCTAGTCCTGTGACAAGAAAGCATATCAATGATGGCTAAAGTTAGTCACCTGAAAGTGCATCTGTACATTCATAGATCACTTTGAAATACATTTGGCTGAAAATTTTTAGAAGAGTTTGAAATGTTGATGAAATGCCATGGTTCATCTCAGCATATTTCATCTAACACATTTACTGCTAATGCATGGTGTGAGCCATTGGGGAACCCAAAGTCTCTCTTACTCTCTCACTGTGGTACATTGCAGCTTTTGAGGCTTCTCTACCTTTGTAGAGTGTTGGGCTACGTTCCACATCTTGTAGTGTATGATGAGATGGGCCTTCTAACCTTAATATCTATTGCATGCGATTGCAGAGAATTGGACTTTGAACAGTCCCTCCCACTCAGACCCAGCCTTAGGGGTGGGCAGCATGTGCAACCACCCACGGTACCATGATAGGGAGGCTTCCAACAACACACACTCACTCTCTCCTCCCCCCCCTCCCCCCACTTGTGCTGGGGGATTTTGGTGCCAAGGGGCTGGGTAGAGGGGCCTGCCCTCTTCCCCTGCCCCCCACATGCCCAGAGCTGATTGGAGCCAGTGGGGTAAAAAGTCCCCAGATAGCAGTGGTGGTAAGCATTGTCAGGCAACATGATGAGCCAGGAGAAGGGTGCCAAATGCTGTGCCAAGGGCAAGGTGGCTGTGCCCAGCAAGAAGGCAGTGTGGTGGGGAGACCTGGTTTGTGCACCAAGGATTTTGCCATTGCTGAGCTACAGCCTCCCCTGCCTACTACCACTACAGCTGAGGGTGCAGGCTTGGGTGGTACTAAGCAGCAGCACCCTGCCACTTTGGCTGGGCTTCCTGTGGGGGCAGCCCTGTCTCCTGTCCACCCACCTACCCTTCATGCCACCCTCAAGCCCTGCCACCTAGCACCAGGCCAGCATCTTGGGTGAGTGGACACACGCTGCCCCATGATAGCCCATAGGGTCCCTGCCACCTACATCTGTGGGCATGTGTGCCCCCCATGCACGCATGCACACATCCCCCCCACACACCTCACAGCCCCCCTGCACCCAATGTACACACCCCTTACACAGTGTGAGTGACTTGTAAGTGGGTACTGAAGGAAGGGTGATGGGGAGGTTCCAAAATACAGTGATGCCCAGGGTACTGTTTTCCTTAAGGTTGGCTCTGCTCCCCCCTCCTACATTCCTTTGTTATATAGGGGTCTTTCTATCAGAATCTGGGAAGCTTGTGGTTTATGGTTAGACCTGGCCCAGCTTGGTGAGTGCCCACAGGTAGTGTAAACATCTACTTCCTTGTGAAGTGAGTGACATTAGATAATGCCCAGCACTCTCCATGTTCCTAGCAAGGTGTGTGTACATTTGCAAACACCCTAGGCTGTGGTTATTCAGAAGCAGTGTTCTGAACCCAGTAGTAATAGCAATTGCAGCCTCTTCTGCTCTTATTACAATTGTTTTATTACTAGCAACATTCAGCTGAGGACTTAGTCAAATCCAGGCCTGAGGGGTGTTACTACCATGACAATGCGTAGTGCTTTGCTGTGTGATTTCAGTGGGTTCAGTTCGGCCCTGATTAGGAAACATGCAGTTAGGCAGGGAGAGAATTGTCTTTGGAAATAAATTGTCCCAGTATTGGGTCTGTGAGGTATGGTGCACCCTTGCTGGGAGGTGACAGGTTCTCAACACTTTGCCAGCTTGAGTCTGTTTTTTTGTCATGGTCCATGTCATTCCCAAGCATCTTGGAGACCAATCCAACGTTCACTGAACATAATGGTCTTTCCAGGCCTCAGATGGAGCCTTGTGTGATTAGGATGTCGATGGGGGACAGTCATTGCAAGGCCTGTTTATAAACACATTATAACCCTGGAGTGTGATAGGAAGAAAAAGCAAAATGTGAGCCAAAGCAACCTCTCTGATCCCTGGCTCAGGAGAACTGGTGACAGCAGGGGGGTCAAAGCTATGGGGATTGGAGCATCCTTTCAAAAAAACTCTCACTACTGGAGCAAGGTGGGAGGTTTATTGCAAAATTCCTGGATGTTTCCCTTAGCAGGAGTCACAGCAGAGCCTTTTGCAAAATACCTGCTTGCTGAGGGGAAAAGGAAAGGCTGGTCAGAAGTCCCTGGGGTCTGCATGTAAGAGATGAGATGTACTTTACAAAGAAGGAGGAATAAAATGAAAGGGACAGAAAGAGAAAGAGAATGCACGTGAACAATGGGCCAGAATCTGTGCTGGTACAAACTGGTGAAACTCTGTCTTTGATGGGCCTAGACTGACTCTCACCTGCTGCATTAAAAAAACAAAACAAAACAAATTTCTACCTTACAAATAATATGAATTATAGCAATAATTCAGACAATGAGAGAGCCTGGGTGGTTCCAAGCTATTCTCCCTCCCCCTCTGTGCTGCCCCAGGTCCCCAGTACATGTTCCATCCCTGGATAGTTGGGATGTAAGCAGAGGGTTTTATTTATAGAGAAATTGGCAGGGGTGGGCATGTGGGTGTGGGTGGAAATGAGTGACGCTGATAAGCCCTTTGACTGCATTTTATTTTACTGAGGTTCTTAACAAATAATCTTTCTGCAATGCAAACCTCCCTTATCAGGCTAATGCAGATTGTCTGAAATCCTTATCTTCATGGGCCAGTTAGCTGGAGTGATCCCCTTTTCACAATGAATAGGGAATCAAGAGCCGAACACAAGCTTCCCTCCACCCCCGCCCCCTTCTTCCAATCAGTGCCGTTTACTGGCAGTGAACAGAGCAGCTCTGATTTCCAAACTCATAAATAACGCAAGGGCTTCAGAATTGAACTACCCTTTCTCTCTGCACAGTTGTTCAGCTATGTGGACATGCTGAGGAGAAGAAAAGATGGTGAGGGGAGGAGGGGACAGGTAGGGTACATAGTGTCCAGCACAAAAGGTCAGTTATTAAAACCGCATCTCCATCCCTCCCCAAAACACACACTCCACCACTCTAGTCACTTGTGTCTGTCTGACACTGTCAACATTTGCCGAGAGGTTGAATGAGTTGCCCTGGCCTACCAATAGCTCCATAGCTGTGGTGCATGTGCATGTGCTGGAGGAAGCAGCCGTTCTTGTTTGCGGAGTTAAGAGAAGCCAAGATTTATGGTGAGAAAAGTACCTGCTGCTCAAGTGAAGCTTTTCTGTCTTTTCTTATCCATTTGTTTTTTTTCAGGGGGTCATCTTTGTGTACCTGGGAAGGGGAAGGGTAGCAGATGAACAGAGCCACAAGCTTTCCAAGGGACAAAAACATGGAGGAAGAATGATAGTTGCCGAGAGGAAGTTTTATTGGTCTCCAATGGAGTTCAGGGTAATATACAACATGGTCTAGCTGCAGGAATAAGGGGCAGAGAAGGCAGGTGCTGCTATTGTCTCTGTATTTTTAAAGTATGATCCTTCTCAGCTGCGAATATTCTTCATTACGGGAATATTCTTCTCAGCTGCGAATATTTTTCGTCACGGGAATGTCTTGAGAAGCCAGAAGCTCAGGCCTATGTTCTAGCAACTTGTTCCTGTAGCCAGCGTATGCCAGCAGGTGGGGGGGATGACCCGGAATGCAAGGTGTGGTCTTGTCTTTCTGCTTCCTTATCAGATCTGGTGCAATACATTGTGTGCAAGTTACTTAACCTCTCAGAGTTTCTTTTTTTGCTCATCTGTGTGTGCCTTGCCTTTTTTAGGTGCCTTATTTACTATCCTCTGTCCATATAGAGGCTTCAAGGTGTTATTGTGTTATATGACCAGATGATGATGACAAAGAGAGTGACCCCATTGGGTGCCTTTGCATGAGCAGTGAGGCTTCTCCAACATGCTGGAATTCCAGAGTGTCAGAGCAAACTTGATTGAGTCTGCTGGAGCGTGGCAATTGCTGCTCTCCAGCAGCTTCCTGCATCTTGTGTATCTTGGTGGTGGGGGTTCTTTAACTAGTTCAAGTGCCCCCATCACCATTTTTAAGTGTAGGGACACTGACACATGAGACACGGTGGTGCTTTAATTAGAGCGACTCTCACAGTGCAAGGACATGACAGCTTGGCCATTACTTTGTTGACATCTGATCAAAGCCAAAGCAGCAAAGACCATGAAGTCATCCAAATCATAAGCAGAGATGGCCATTCTGGACTTTGGACACTGACCTGGACTTCCAAGATGTTGTTTTGAGTGTTTATCTAATGGACAATCATTGTGTGCTTTCTGGGAATCTTGCCAAGCATGAACGACGGCGGCGAGTGGGCGACCGCCCACAGGCAGCTGTGGTAATGTCAGTGGCAAAGGCAGGCTGAGCGGGGACCACTTGCAGGCAGCCGTGGCAGTGTTGGCTGTGGGGGGGGAGGTGGTGAGCAGTGAGCGGGGACTGCCCGCAGGCACCGGTGGCCATGTCAGTGGTGAGGGGGTACAGCGACTGGCCACAGAAGCCAGTGGCGGGGGTGGGGGGCGGCCCGGGCACATGCCCTGCCCCCCACCCCCCGCCCTCCCTACGCATCACCTGTGTTGCCAAATTAAGTCACTATTATGATCCTGTAGTAGTTGAAACCCTTGCATGATCCTAGCCACTAGCTAGATGGAGAGTTGGTTTAGACTTTCCTGTGGGGTTAAGATTTCAGTGCATGGAGTTCTGATGGCCCAATCTTCTGCAGGTTTGGAGAAGGAGGTCTGGTTTCCATCACCTGAGGACCCATCCCAAGGTGCTTTGTTTACCAGGCCATTTATTTACAATGGCTATTTCCCATCTGTTACTGTTGTTTTGTATTTTCCTTCAAAGACAGAATAGAGTTCCTTTCCAGTGCAGAAATCGAAGTAAAAAAATAAAACAGCCTAGCATCCTTCACCTGGCTCTCTTTCCATTTGTTCAGACAGTTATGTGCCATGACTCATTTATACTCTTATTGTTATAAACTATAGTTAGAGAGGAGAAGGATTAACCGTGCTGAGAGCGTCTTCAAGTGCTGCTGGTACATGACTCCTTCCATACCACCAACATGGACAACAGTGGTGTGTGACTATCAATCTGGACCTAGCTGGGGCATGTCCCTGGAGGGAAAAGCTCAGAAATTCAGTTTCAGGTATCTTGTAAATGAGAATTTCCACTGGTGGATTCAATTTAGGCTGGATTAGAGTTTAGGATGGATTTAAGCAGGGAATTGAGCAGGATTAGAATGTAGGATAGCGACAAAAATTAAGGACAACAAAAAGTCCTTCAGGTATATAAGGAGCAAAAGAAAGGTACAAGGTAGCATAGAAACCCTACAGGACAAAATAGGGCAATTAGTGACAGAGAAGGGGGAGAGAGCTGAGCTCTTCAATGTGTTATTTGCATCTGTATTCCTAGACACAAACCAAGACAAATCTCCCAATTGAATTGTAGATAGAGGCAGGAGGGACACTAGCCCACCAACTGTTAGCACAGACTTAGTGAAAGGACTGGATGTGTTCAAATCAGCGATCCCAGATTAACTTCATCTATGGGTGCTGAAGGAATTGGCCAGTGTCATAGCAGAGCCACTGGCATGGCTGTTCGAGCATTCATGGCACTCGGTTCAGGTCCCAGAGGACTGGAAAAGGGCCACTGTGGTCCCTATTTTCAAGAAGGGGAGGAGGGAGGAACTGGGAAACTATAGGCTAGTTAGTCTCACCTCCTATCCTTGGCAAAACTCTGGAAAAAATAATTAAAGATCACATTGGTGGGATCCCAGCAGGGAAAATAATGCTGAAAGGAAATCAGCACAGATTCATTGCAGGTAGATCCTGCCTGGCTAACTTTGTTTCTTTTTATGACCAGGTCACAAAGTGCTTGGACGCAGGAGTCGAGGTAGATGTCATCTACCTAAACTTTAAGAAGGGCTTCAAGACACCTTCTTCTGTTCTCATAAATAAACTGACAGGCTGTGATGCAGATGATTACATGGTCAGGTGGGTGGCAAATTGGGTTAGGGGTTGCACCCAGAGAGTGGTGGTAGACAGGTTGATATCGACCTGGAAAGGTGTGGGCAGTGGAGTCCCGCAAGGCTCGGTCCTTGGACCGGTGCTATTCAATGTCTTCATCAGTGACTTGGATGAGGGCATGGAGAGCACCCTGTCCAAGTTCACAGATGATACCAAATTATGGAGCAATGTTACCACACCAGAGGGTAGGGAGCGGATCCAGGTGGATCTGGACAGTTGGTAAAATGGGCAGAACAAAATAGGATGCAGTTCAACAAAGAAAAGTGCAAAGTGCTGCACCTGGGCAAAAAGAACCACCAACACATTTGCAGGCTGGGGGCTGACCTTCTCAGCAGCACAGCAGCAGAAAGGGATCTTGGAGTCATAGTTGACTCCAAGACCTGCAGGCAAGGCCCTATGAGGAGAGACTGAGGGACCTAGATCTCTTCAGCCTTTGTGTGAGAAGGCTGAGAGGTGACCTTGTGGCTGTCTATAAATTCATCAGGACAGGGCAGCAGGGAATAGGAGATGCTCTATTTACTAGGGCACCCCTTGTAGTAACTAGGACCAATGGCCACCAATTGATGGAGAGCAGATTTAGTTTGGACATTAGAAAGAACTTCTTTACAGTAAGGGTTGCCAGAAGCTGCAATGGGCTTCCAAGGGCGGTGGTGCTCTCCCCTACCTTGGGGGTCTTCAAGAGGAAACTGGACAAGCACCTGGCTGGGGTCATCTGGGGGTTGGACTCGATGATCTGCTGAGGTCTCTTCTGGCTCTAACATCTATGAACTAAACAGTTCCCTTTTTGTGGAGACCAGGTTCTTTTTGGCTTGGTGGTTCAGTGGAAGTGTCAAGGTTATGCTGTCTGGTGCTTTTCCCAGTCCAGACAGTAAGGCCTCTCCAAGCCACCTTGATTTTGAACTCTTGAATTAAATACCACTCCTAGTCTGGAATACTAGTCTCATTCCCTTAACCCTAGCTCCAAAGTAAGGCAAAGTCCTGAAGCCAATGACAAAACCCCCATTGATTGGAATGGGACCAGGGTTTCACCTTGTGATTATCTTTTTCTGTTTAGGACTGGCCAAAAGCTCACTTTAACTCAACGGAAAGACCTTCCAATGACTTCAGTGGCATTGGTTCAAGATCCGAGAGAGAGAGTAATCTTTTGTTTTTGTCTTTTTGAATGCAGAGCTGGGTCTGTCAGAGGTGTAAGGGTATGTGTGTATTCCTTCCAATGCTCATCAGTACTTTAGCACAACAAGCTAAAGGCACATCACAAGTTTTTAAAAAGGTAGAGTAGCGATACACCTTATAGACTAACTGAATCAGAGACGTATAAGCTTTTGTAAGCAAGGCTCACTTCATCAATGCTAGCAATTCAGGTGGTTGGTAAGGGTCTGCCCTGGCTGTGGGGAGGGTCCTTGATAGCATGATCTCTGTCGAGGGATCTGTAGCAAATTAACTTGTTTAGATTTATTCCTCCCAGAAACTTTATACCTTGGCACTTTAGGCATCTTGCATGAGCATTATTTGATTTTTTTATTTATTTATTTTTTAATGAGATTTTTGGGGGTTGGGTTTTTTGTTTTTTGTTTTTTTGGAAGTGGATTTTTCTTGGCGTTTGAATCATCCTGATCTTCTTCTCTGGAAGCACATTCCAAATTCTCTGACCCAAACAGCATGAGGCCTGTATTTCCTGTGCACTTGACTTAACTCCTAGGCTAGACCATTGAAATGTTTCAATGGACTGTAACTACTGGGGGTAGCCATGATATAATGCCTGTGTTATGAAGGGATTACAGGTAGATCCATTTTTTTTCTAGGTGGTTATGCCAACATAGATAGGAAGCCATATGTGATTATGATGATATGGTTCCTTCTACAGATGGAAATGCAGCACAATAAGGGTACAGCAAAGTGCCCCACAATCTAATGTTCTACAGCATCTTTATATAGATACAGAGCTGGATCCTCCTGTAGTCTGCTTAGAAAGGGAATTTTTGGATACTGTAGTTTGTGAATGCCCCCAAAATATTGTCTGGTTCCCAGTGGTGGAAAAGACATAAAGCAGTGGATACTTCTTAAGTCTAGCTTTCTTGCTTATGTGGGGCACCTTAGGTTGACCAGCTATACTTCTGTTTACATCGGTGATCTCCAACCTTTTTATGGTTCAGATCACTTTTTGGAAGTAA